TCTGCTCATGCTTCATTTCCTCCTTCGTACACGACGAGATCCACCATATAATTTATAATTGTACTAGGACTTTCATAATTTTACTTCATTTAGACGGGTTACTTGGAGATGATAAAATTTCTTCATGGCAATGGAATGGTGTGGTAGCTGTAGTAATTGTGGTACGCTCTGATCACGAAATACGAATCACGGATTAGCAATCACTGTTGCCATGTAGGTACTGGATCACATGGATACTTGCACGACAGTATCCCACCCAAACGAAAAGCGAGGAAAAGGTCACAGGGATAACAGTTCTTTCATTGAAATAAATCACAGGGCTTAAATAATATGTAAAAACAACTTCCTTGGTCATCCAAGCTTCTGCCAATCGCGTGCTAGTATTGTTCACCTTCTGTCTGAGCCGCACGGTTTCTGATTGGTTGGTACAATCGACCTATGGTATGTAGTCCAGAAGCTGTGCCACGTACGCACATTGCTGGCGTCAATCGGGAAACTGGATTGATTCTACTGATTGCCCGAAAACTGTAACACATCACTCCAAGGTATGCGTCATCTAGCAGGTTAGGATCACCACAAATAGATTTATTTGATTTTCGAACCACTGCATTTTGTCTTCTGGGCATACCTCCAACTCGGATACAGGTGCAAACTGTCAGGAATCAGTGTAGCGTTTATTTTAGCATATGGTGAAATGTGTCACCCTTCGTCGCCAAAGCACTAAAATGAACTGACTGATTGCCATTTGGCAACAATATTAGAAAGAGATTGGAACGGAATTTGAACTCCGAATCTGTCGGTATGGAGTTGCACTGGTGATGAGGTGAAACAAGAGGTAAATTCAAGTTTGTAAGTTCTCAAATTCCTGTAGAACTGTTTTACCTTCCGGTGAATCCTTCGTAACTTAAAGCAAACTGCTCACAATGGGATTGCTACTTCAACCGCCACACACCACTTGTCGATCGGAGATCATTGATAGCCGCTTTCATTTGAAATGGACTGAACTCCTCGTCTACAAACAAAACGAGTTTTATGCGAGTAAGCCAGTGAGAAAGGAGCCTTGAACGGGGGCCGATCTGACCATTCGTCCCATGCGGGAATCTTATGCTCTCGAACTTTGAGAGTTTTAGATGCGAATGAACGAACCCTCTATTGTGAGGGTAAGATCATGCTCAGGGGTAAATGGGAACATAGCGAAGTGCGTGAAGATTTTCGGCCTCTGGAGGGGGATCAATATTCTTATCCAGTGCAATTTCACGGAAATGAACCACTCCTTTTGGACACAGTGAACAAAATCCAGTTTATATGTTCCTGTGGAGCAACGTAGATCGGCCGCACTAGCAGGCGCCTATCTACACGAGTTCGGGACCATCATCCGGCCTATGTGAATACTGGCGTGATGAAAACTATTACAAGTGCCATCGTTTCACACCTCGTCGAGTCCGATCGCACGGTCATTGTGACTGAAGCATTTCAACCCCTCTACTGTATTAAAAATCGCATCCTAGCCAACGCAAAGACGGTCGG